TTAGTCTTGTTATTGTTGTCATTTTTGTCATTTACTTTTGCTTTTTTTTAAATTTTGGTATCTACAGGAAGCACCCTAAATTACACACACATCCACACCCACACCCCCAAACCTCCCTCACACACATATGTATGTATGCATGCATGCATCTTACTTGCAAACTGAGAGGAAGTTTGGTGTAATGATGGGTTTAACCTTTTTTACATCATGGAACCTTTAGCAATATGGTAGAACTTATGGATACCTTCTCAAAATAATATTTTTATATATCAAATAAAGTACATAGGATTACAAAGGAAATCAATTACACTGAAATACAGTTATCAAAATATTTGAAAAATTATGATATAGTAATTTCTCTTGAGGTAGATCTAATAACAAGTAATTTTGAAGTAGTATCGAACTAATAGTTCAACTATAATGTGACATGATAATATCTGATTTCAATTTCAGATAAAATCACAAGTACTGTTAGTAGTATGTTCATTAATAATTGAAGGAAATGCCAAATTTCAGGTAGAGGTTAAAGATGTAATTTTTTTCCTATCCAAGTTCACAAATCCCATGAAATATATCCATGGACCCAAGGTGTAATGGATAATAGCACTGGGGACTTGGAGTCAGGGAAACCTGAATTTAAATGCCACCAATTGCATTTACTAGGTGTGGAACCATGGGCAAATCACTTAACCATAATCAGCCTCAGTTTTCTCCTCTGAGAATGGAGATAACAATACCTGTAGGATCTACATCATCAGATTGTTGGGGTATGACTCAGATGTGATGGTGTGGGTAAAGCATTCTGTCATCTTTCATTTATTATTGTTGTTGTTATTATTATTTTTGTTGTTGTTATCAACCAATGATCTGAAGAGGCAGTGTGGTATAGTAGATAGGGCACTGGGCTTGGAGTCAGGAAGATCTGGCTTTAAATCCTTTCTTTATCACTTATGAGCTGTGTTACCCTGGGCAAGTTTTTTGACTTTTCTGGGCCTCGGCTTCTTCATCTGTAAAATGAGGGTATTGGACTTGATTCTAAGGTCCCTTTTAGCTCTAAATATATAATCTTATATTACCATCACCTGGCATCATCTGTGCTCCCTCTCCTGGGATTTAAACTAAAAGATTAGGACCCTTTGGTCTGAAAAAAAAGGCAATACAGGATGTACAAGTACAAAGGGGTCTGAGAGAAAATATAATTGAAATCTACAAAATGATAAAAGAATAGAAAAGAAAGTTATTGCTGTTAATATTACTTACAAATTATGTGGAATTTGCTTTATCCCACTCCTCCTATCCACCCAGAGACTACTTGTGTACGTATATAGAGATATAAATATGTGTATGTATATACGTACAAATGCATACACACACTTTTGCACACACATGCATGTGCTCACACAGAGACACACACTCCTTTCTCTTCCAATGCTGTATCTATTAACTCAGAAAATGATCTTTTAACGATCTATTTCTTTTAAGAGTCAAAATACAACTTTAATCATAGATGAAAAGCAGAAGCAGAAGAATAGATACACCAGGAGGTGAGAAAAGAAACGTCATGTTTTGAATTAAAATGGGACATAATAAGGACCAGTACCACCAGCCCCCAAAATTCCTTCAAATGACCAGGCATCCCCATCAGAAATCTCCCTTTTCATCTTCCTCTAATTAAACATTTTTTCCCTCAAGCACCACTTTTCAAAATAAATAAAATTGTATTTCTAGCTCTTCCTTGTCCTTTTGAATTGCTAGTACTATAACAGTATTGTTCTCAATTCAATTCAGCAAATGTACTCTCAGTATTTTTTTTTTATTGCAGATGAATTGTTTTTGCTATGTCATGGATTGAACAAGGCTGTTATGAACTAATCAGGGAATCTACCCAACATTTCTAATGTTGATTCTATGGGAAGATGAATTTCAAATTCCACACAATTGATTAACAGAATCAACTTCTGACACACAATGTTGAGGATGGGTGGATCACCTGTTGAGATAATGACTTCATAAAGTTTCTACCCAATACAGGATGTGCTTCTTTTATTTTATTTGTTGTAAGCCTCTTATCCTGTGCTTTAATAGGTAGGTAACATCAAATGAGATAATATTTGTAAAGCACTTTTACAAGTCCCTCGCATGTAATAGGTACTTAATAAATACTTGTTTCCTTCTTTCCTCCCTTCCTTTTTTTCTTTACTTAAGGTATACTGACTATCTTTTCATAGTGCTAGTATTCTTGGTCTTTTTATGACTATATCATTCTGTTATTATTCTTAATATCTATATAACTTCCTTCAATATTTTTGTAATTAAATTTGATTCTTCTTCCTACCTCCCCCGATTGAGAAAGCAAGAAAAACAGAATTACAATTACTTCATTATTATTTTAAAAAGTTATACTGATCTTAATAATCATCAAGAAAAAGAAATTTGTAGAAATATGAAAAATAGGTAATAATGCTAAATGGAATTTTTCACTTTTTTCTAGATCTTAGAATCAGAGAATCTAAGAATTCCTAGGAACATAGATTTAGGACTGGAAAAAAAAAACCTCAGCAGTCACCCTGTCCAACCCATATGTGAATAAAGAAAGATCTCTTGTAATATTCCGGACAAGTAGTTATCCAACCTTGCTGCAAGACTTCTGGAGATGGGAGATCCAATAATAGATACCAAGCACTTTCAACTCTTTACATGTGTTATCTTATTTGATCCTCTCAACACCCCTGGGAGGTAAGTGCTATTATTGTTCCCATTTTACAGATGAGTAAACTGAGAGACAAAGAAACTTACTCGCCCAGGGTCATATAGCTGGTAAATATTTGAGGTAGGATTTGAATTTGGATCTTCTTTCCATGTGAAAACAACTCTCTCATCTGCTCATCGGTCCTTTCTTCTCTAGGAGCAATATTTTCCAGTTTCTTGAACTGATCTTCATGTGACATGAGCTCAAGACCCTTCACAGCCTGATGAACTTCACCTTCAATGTTCTTTCACTTATCAAGGTCCTTCCTAAAATATGGTACTCTGAACTGAACCCAATACTCCACATGTGGTTTGACCACAGAAGAGTACAGGAAGACTAATATGTCACAAAACAGTAACAAAATGTCCTATTTGCTTCTATTTGCTCTTGAATTTTTCTCTTCTTTTGTTATTTTGTTAACTTCAATAATAGAGGGTATCCTAAAAGTCCCAGTGCAATTTAAAGCTGTTGCGGCTTGCTGTCCAGTCATATCCAACTCTTCATGACCCTGTGTACCATACTGTCCCTGGGGTTGTCATGGCAACGATCCTAGAGTGGTTTTCTATTTCCTTTTCCAATGAATTAAGGCAAACAGAGATTAAGTGACTAGCTCAGGATCACACAGCTATTAAGTGTCTAAGGCCACATTTGAACTCAGGTCTTTCTGACTCCAGGCCCATGCTCTATCCACTGATCCACTTAGCTGCCTAATTTAAAGTTGAGCTAAGCTTAAAATGCAATAAGACCTTTGAGATATTCTGTAGATAAGCCTTTGCCTTTTTAAACTACAAGGTTCAAACTTACTTTGTTTAGATAACCAGTCAGTTGAAAGAGCACCAATGAAAAAAATGATGAAACTCATGCTGATGGTATTGATGATAACAAAAGAAGTAGAATGAAGTCTCTTTTTGGGCTTCCAAGAAACTGATGAGCATTTTTTAAAATATGCTAAATTACAAAAAAAAAAGAATATAGCCTACAGGAAAATGGCACTAAAACACATTTGTAAACATTCAATGGGACAGGAGAAACCATGAAATTTATAAGATGAAAAAAAATTAAAAAGTCAATTATTATTTCAACTAAAAAGGTAATTTTAACTCCTTTAGTGTCAATGAGAACACACCAGTAATAGGTTTGAAGTTTGTTTTGATTTTGTTTCTGTAATTAGAGATAGGTATTAGAAGAAAAACATGAATTTATAGTTTACTATAAAATGTTGCAGACCATGGATGTTACTAGAGGTGGCAAGGCATGGTGGATAGAGAGTTGGCTTCAGTTTCAGGAGGACCTAGGTTCAAATCCTGCCTCTGATCTATACTGGCAGTTTGACTCTGGACACATTTGACTTCTCAGTGCCCCAGGCAACTTTCTCGGACTTTAATGTAATTGCTGCTCTGAATTGGTAGAGGAAATTTCTCTCAAAGAAACTAATCCAAATCTTAATTCTATGCTTCTCCCCCCCCCCCCAAAAAAGAGAGAGAAACAGGTATTGGAAGAATCTAAACATAAAATTGTAATTCAATACAATTGGTGCGGAGAATGAGTATTATGACTGATACCTATAGCGAATTGCAGAATGAAAAGGCATTAAGGGATTATGATTTGTATTGATGTCAAAAGTACCCACACTGAAGAAATCCAGGATATAACAAAGCAGAGAAGAAAATTAGTCTATAATGGGTAACTTTGATTCATATTTTATGACCCTATTCTTATATTTCAGATGATGGTTTCCAAATGCACTTTACAAAAACAGAATCAATCAATACTCGGGGGGAGAGGCATAAGAGAGTTGGCAGCACAAAAGTATGTTCTCTTCTTTACCTAGGAAGGAAACCGTAAATTCTAAAAAAAGTCAACAATCCAAGAAATAAATCTGTTTCTTTTGCATGTGTTTTCGAACAATGCTGTAGAAGAATAAATAAAGCAAGCCCAGAGTGTGCCTACCAGGTTCTAATGACATTGAGGACTATGATGACCTCAGTAAATCACTTTCAAAAGCTTCACTCTCCTGGTTGATCAAGTTACTAGAATCCCCCAATGCAATTACATTCTCATTACACTGTCCAGCATCCATAATTCCATAGGCTTTCCTAGAGTAATCACTTTGCTGTCAAACATGAAATATTCCTAACATGACATAGTAAATGGTCTGATTAAATATTCTTACCTCTGTCTCTCAACCCCTTTCAGCCAGTCGCTTGTGGGCTAGGCACGTGAAAAAGAGAAAAGGAAAGAAAGAACTTACCATCAGACATGTGACGATCATTATAAAGATACTGAGGAAAATGACAACAGCATAAAATCCTTCTTTGCTCCAGATCTTATCCGCTTCATGTTGCCCTTGTAAGACGTTGGTCTTGAAAGCAAAACAAGAGAGCCTTGTGTTAAGATGAGAAATGGGGTTGGGGGGGAGGGGGAGGAGGGAGGATAGATTAAAGTTCTTATCAGGAACCGGCAATATTTTTAGCTTTTGTTCCATACCGTGTGGTAGAGCACACCGACATTCACTGCTCCCACAGCTACCCAAACCGAGCTGAACAAACGAGCTGGGAAGTGTTTATAGGATGAATCTGAAAACATCCACAAATGATGTTCCGTCTTCTCACTGAGTCCCCCCCACGGCATGCCACATTCTGGTTCTAGGCTAAGCAAGCTCCCCCCGTGCTCTTCCTTGGCAACTCCTGAGTCCATAAGGTAAGGGAGGCACTTGGGGTTTTCTCCCTTTGGAGGAAGTTCCTTCCACACACCCTCTGGGCTCGCCCTGTCTTGTGCCTCCTCCCTTCAGCACCTACACTCTAGCTCAAGTCCTGCCTGGAACACGGCTCCTGTACCTTTAAGCAAAAGTGAAACAGGTGCGAAGGAAATCTCATGATGCATTCAGAAAGAGCCCTGCTTTGACAGGGTCTTCTCCTGTTTTTGTTGCTTCTTTAAAAACAATTCCGCTGTGCTTGATTCTGATTAAAGCAGTATCCCAACCTTGGGGATTACCAGGGATATTACATTTTTTAAAGCAGCTGTGAACACAGAAAATGATAGAGCTATTGGGGAATGAGATGCAAACCCCTGCCCCCCCCACCCCAAACAAATATGGTTTATTTCTTCTTGATTGCTGTGGAGAAGCTTGATTAGACCGTGAATGAATGACACTTTTGGTTTGATTTCTCATGACCCCTATCCTACCCTCAAGTGTCTTAAAAATTAATATTTACTGAAATAAGACATGAAAAAAAATGTTTTATAACTACCAAATGTGGTTTTGTGGAATGCAACAAACGATCCTTGACTTGAATCCTCCGATAGAGGTAATGTAGTATACTGACCTGGAGTCAGGAGAGACCTGGGCTACAAACCTGCCTCTGCCACTTATGTGAAAAGTTGAGAAAGGAACAAACGTGTATTGAGTGCCTAGGATGTACCAGGCATTGTGCTTTATAAATATTATTTCATTTGATCACTTACTAGACGTGTGATCAGAGGCAAGTCACTTGACCTAACTGACCCTCAGTTTCGTCATCTGTACAATGCCAATAATGATCCCTGTATCTGGTAATCTGCCTCATGGAGTTGTGGTGAGGTCCAATTGGAACAATAACACACAAAATAATCTGTTATACCTCAGTTATCTTTTCAGCGTTGTTAGTCAATCAAATATCAGGCATAACAGATAGAAGGTCAGCTTTAGCTGAAGTTTGAAGGGCCTAGTTCAAATCACCCCTCTGATGTATATTGGATGTGTGATCCTGGGCAAGTCCATCAGTTTCTCAGTGCCCACAGGCAACTCTCTAGCACTTTAAATTTCAGAACAGATGCTGATTTGCAGAGGCAGAGAGAGTTTCCTTACCGTGTGCTCCCTACAGCAATGAAATCATAAGGTCCAGTTTAAGATTTCAGGAAGCATAGCAGTTCTTTGATACCTGAGTGATTTAGATAAGCTATGATGCTTATCTAAATAATAATGTTTGGATGCTTATCTAAACAATAATTGTAGGAACATTAAGTTTCCTTCATGTGTAACCAGAGGAGGATTTCAGCATATTGAATGAAAAGATATATGGATGATGTTAGAAATGGAACATGAGAACAAAGACAATCGTGGGTTCCAGTGTCGCTTTGCCTTCTTTCTGTTGGAGCTTAATCATGATTAGCCATGTGTCTTGGTAACCACACCTAGGCTAGACAGAAACAAAGCCCCTGTAGGAAACCAGGTGAAACTCTGGGAGGGAGATTGGTTCTTTTGGTGTGACAACTTAATAAAAACCTTTGTGTCACAAATGAACTGGGAGGGCATTCATGAAACATTGGAAGATCAAATACAGGCAATGAAGGGTGATCAGAAGATTTGTAACTGCCTAAAAGGGGTAAGGTAGGTGGCACTATGAACAGAGTGCCAGGACTGGAGTCAGGAAGACTCATCTTCTTGAGTTCAAATCTGGTCTAAGACATTTACTAGCTGTAGGACCCTGGGCAGGTCACTTAATCTTGTTGACCTCAATTTCTTCACCTATAAAACAAGCTGGAGAAGGAAATGGTAAGCCACTCCACTATCTATAACCTCAATTGGGGTCACAAAGAGTCAGATATGACTGAAATGACTCGATAACAAAAAGACCTTAATTTCATTCCTATACCTAGCTTGTCCTTGTCTTTTTTCTTGCCCTAGCCCTACTCCCTTCAGTAGTTAAAGTTAGCTTTTTTCCCCCACCAGAAGCATTGATGATGGCAGAATATTCAATTAACTTTCCCCACAGTGAAAGACAGATGGTTTCAGAACCTTTACTAGGTCAGGGCAGCTGGGGCTTTGTCTGAGGTGCCTACATCAGGAAGCAAGGTATGCTTCTTCCCAAGCTTGGGAGCGTGCTTTTCCCCCTCCTTTTAGGTAGTCTGGACACAGTAATCCCAATGCCCATCAATCCTCATGGTTTTCCACCGGCTAGCACTCCCAAGGAGCAAGGAGGGCATTAGGAGGGGATAAAGAGCTGTGGTTCAGAAGAAGTCGGAGAGGAAGAGAACAGGATAGGCCACACTCTCCACTCTCCCAGAAGATTCTGTATTGGTTCATGTTTCCATGGGAGCTGGAGGGCAGGCAGTTCCTCAGAGCCAGTGGGAGAGCTGGGCTATAGAGTTGGGGAGGTATCCCCTCTGCCTAGTTGGATTGACATTTGCACTGCTACCTCCCTATACTTCTCCAGACTGCCTTCTATCTTCCCTCTACCTCCTCCCAGCTGTTTTTTTGCCCCAGATGAAAAAGTTTTTAGTTTTTCTTCTGGGTGTTTTGGACTGTTTGAACTGAGTCATTTTATTTCCTTAGTCATTAATTTCCTTCTCACTTATCAAACTACAGTTGAGTTATTATATTTGTACAGAAGTTCAAGAGACCCAACAGAGGCACGACAATCGACAACTAAGTTCATAGCAACATCCTGCTTTTATTTTTTTAAGTCATTCTTTCCCATGTACTTTCACCTAATTAGTGCTTGTGCAAAAGAGAAGGGCTGGGTTTGTAGTCAGATGATCTGAATTCAAATCCCAGCTCTGTTGCTTACTCCCTGTGTGACCTTGGGAAAGTCACTTTAACCTCTCTGGGACTCAGTTTCCTTTTCTGTAAAATGAAGGCGTTGGACTGCGAATAAATGGTCTCTGAAATCCCTTCCAGCTCATCCTTTATGACTCTATCAACTTTAGCAGAGTCAACTTACTGCCTTAATCTTATATATTTCTTCAGGGGTTCTGGGTTCACCTTTTAGAAAGGACTGTGGGCTTATCTATGTGAGTCCTATAAGGTAGATGCAATATTAAAATATTTAGCTGGCTCAGATCACTATGGATAGAATGTAAGCTCTTTGAGGGCAGGCGCTATTTCATTTTTTAATATTCGTATCCCTGGCATCTAGCACAGTGCCTGGCCCATATAAATGAATATACACATACTTATATACACTATAGCAGCCACTTAATTAAGGCTTATTGGTTGATGGATTACTTTAATACCTTGTGCATCTTGAAGTATGAACCCCAATACTTAGAGAAGATTAGAATATGTAGGAGTATGCTGGTAAATATTTAACAACCAGATGATTGGGTGGTGGGGGTGTGTATGTGTATACACATCAAACTTTTAAGTTTAATCTACATTATTAACATTTTTCCATCACTTTCTAAAATCTAGAAATCAACAAAACAATAGATCAAGCACTGATTTGTAGCATTTGCTGATTTCAGAGGTATAAATACTCACACCAAAAATTTAACAATTGGCTACTGAAATCCCTGTGAGAGTATGCATCTTGAACACATGAATACCTTATTGGTTAGAAGTGAAATAGACTGATTACATTTTTTTCTGCTCTGATCCAGATGGCACTATAGATGCAATCAGGTTGATACGAGGTATAATAATTCTTTTGCCTTGCACACCTACTCTCATCAATTAGATTGTAAACTCCTGGAGGACAGAGACTGTCTTTTACTTCTTTTTGTATACCCCACTGCTTAGGACATAGAAGGGATTTAGTAAATGTTAATTAACTGATTGATCCAGCATTTTGGATTTAAGTACAAAAAGTAATGCTGAGAGTGTAAGCACAAAAAAAAATCCAAAAAAACAAAAGTGGAATTTAAACTTGACAATTATTAGGTAAATTTCACTGGCATACTTAGCTAAGCTGGACAGTTATATCCAATGGCCTAGTTCTCCTAGATATTTTATTATACTCTGTCCTCCAAATTTCATGTCATTGTGTATAAACACATTTTAGGTGCTATTAGACTCAATTAAATCTTCACAGAAGAGCTATGCTATATAGACTGGAAATCTTTTAAAAAAGAATTCGAGTCAATGAACTCAGTTTGAAAGAACAATCAAAATTCATGAATTATGGTTCTGTTTATGCATCTTTTGTCAAGGTTAATTATTTGTTTCTCCAGGGAGGGTCACCAAGGTTGTCAGCACAGAAAGTATTAGGGAAATGCAAGACTATTTATTGACATTTGAGGCTGTCAAATACAATGGAAATTCCTCTAACTCTTTTCCTTTCTGGGTTGTGGAGTTAAAGGACCTGGGGATCAAAACTAGCCTTTCATGCTTACTACCTGTGTGATCTTGGACAAGGGTCTCAGTTTCCTCATCTGTGAAATGAGGAGATTTAGACTAACTAGTCTCTGAGATATTCCTGATCCAGATCTAAACTCCTGTGATCGTAAGTTCGCAAAAAGATTTGTGTTTTCTCATGGACAATGGCAGTCAAAATGAAAGCATACCATGTTTGTTAGAGGTATAATTAGCCTTCTGACAAAAGACAACAGGGTGTGGTAACATGGCCTCCAGATAAGTAGATCTGAGTTCAAGTTCTACTCCTGCCACAAACTTACTGTGTGAACCTGGGAAAGTCATTTAGACTCAGTGTTCTAAAAGAGGTGCCCACCTGCATGGGTAGAAAGAGTTTTCTCATTTGAGAGTTTCTATACCAATTAAATCAGAGATCCAGTCCCTATTCCTATCACTAAAAAGCTAATCATTAAATAGTATTCTAATATCTACAGTGTATAAACTGAAGACAGAATCATAATAGTATTTGAGAATCCATAATATATAAGGATTCATAAGAAACATACAAAAACAAGCAATGTATAAGAAATTCTGCTTATGATCTTACATTAAAAAGGAGATAAGATAAGCAAAGATCACTTTCTTGGGTGAGTTTTTCTTTTCTTCCCTAAATAGTACTCAGAAAATTAATTCCTTCATATAATGGGAAAGAGTATTTAGTCCCTCTCCTGACCTATTGTCACACATTCCCAGCTGCCTGTTAGATAACTGAATTGGCTATCCCAAGGACATCTCAAACTCAACAGAGCCCAAATAGAACTCACCTTTCCCCCTAACTCTTCCCACTTCTGAAGGGGCCCTCTCCAGTTGTCCTGATCTATATCTGGCCACTGGACCCAGATGGCTCCAGAGGAGGAAGTGAGGCTGGTGACTTTGCCCAGCCCTCCCTCACTGAAATCCAATTCACTTGAAAGTGATGGCATCCTCTTCCTGATGCCACAGTCCCCTTGGAGAATGAAGGACAAACAACACCTTCTGAACTTCTCTATTACAGTTGAGGGTGCCACCATCTTCCAACTCACCCAGACTTGCAAACTCAATGTCATCCTTGACTCCTGCTTCTCCCTTACCAAATACATCCAATCCAAATCTTGTGTTTCTCATTTCATGATCTGTCTCATATAGTACTTATACAGCCACAACCCTAGTCCAGGCCTTAACCACTTTATATCTGAACTAACGCAATTGCCTTTCTATTCTAATTCACCCTCCACTCAGCTGCCAAGGTAATTTTTGAAAGCTCAAGTTCCGACCATACCATCCCCCTGCTCAATGAACTCCAGTGGCTCACTATTACCTCCAGGATCAAATATTTACTCCTATTTTTGGCATTTAAAGCCCTTTATATTCTGGCTATTTGCTAACTTCCTAGCCTTCTAACATTTTCCTTACCTCTATGCAATCTACATACAGCTACTGACATCCCGTCTCCCATCTTCATGCCTTGGCCTAGTTGTCCCTTCTCCCTGGGATGCTCTGCCCTCTCACTTTGCTTCAGCACAGGTCTGACCATGGCACCCTCCTATCCAACAAATTTCAGTGGCTCCTACCTCTAGGATTAAATATAAAATCCTCTACTTAGCTTTTAAAGCCCTTCTTAACTTGACACTTCCTACCTTGCTGGATTTCTTACACCTTCTTCAATTCCACTATAATCCGATGTTACTGGCCTTCGAGATGTTCCTCACACTCACAATGTTGCATTGTCCAGCTCTGGGGATTTGCACTGGCTGTCCTGATTGCCTGGAACCCTCTCCCTCCCATCTCTGACAACCAGCTTTCTGGGCTTCCTTCAAGTCTCACCTTCCAGAAGAAGCCTTTCTCAGTCCTCCTTAATCTCAGCATCTTCCCTTTGAGATTATTTCTAATTTTGTCTATATCTTGTTTGTTGTTTACAAATTGACAAACATTGTTTTTGTGTTATCTACCCCATTGAGATAATGGACCATCCTTGGCCTTTTTTTTTTGCATCTCTAGTGCTTAGAACAGTGTCTGGCACGAAGAAGATACTTAAAAGTGTTTCTAGACTGATTTCACCTGTTAATTTCTGACTTCTTTCAAGGCTCTGTAGTCACTCAAAGGAATTTGTTCTGACCATCCACACAGGAAAGACCAAGTGGATGATTAATAGTCATTGCCTAGATTACAGTATGCATCACAGACCAACAACCTATAGATCTTGTCCATCAAAATCTATATTTGGGGCACAAAATGTAGATAGAAAATGAAGTAAGCCCAGATGGAGAGCAGGTTGTATTGCATTTGGGAAACTGTGAAACTCTTTTAATAACCCTAATATTCTAATGAAAGTAAATTCTCATCTTTTTAGTACCAACATTCTCTTGGCATTGTTATATAGCAGTGAAACAGTCTCCAATGAATTAAAAATGAATATTACAGAAAGGTCAATAGAGAGGCTCCTCGTGAATATGAGTAGGTGTGATATAGAAAAGATTAAGATTTGCAAAGAATAAGAATACAAAATATCTTCAAGGAATTATATGAAAGTTGGAAAAGATCAGCAAGGATGAGGGATGGCAGGGAGATATTTAGATTCCTCTAGTTTCCCTTGAATTATCATGAGAAAACTAGGAAGGCTTCTGCTATATTACATGGACTCCCTTTGACAAACTTATGGGAAGCCATGGATAAAAGTGGCACCATATGGGCACGAATGGATGGGTTGTTGGAAGGACCTTCCAAACTGATGAGACCAAAGTTCTATCTGAGTATGTATTGACACAATTTGATATAGAAGTTAAGCCAAATCATTATTAAGCAAGCAAAACAAAAAAACCAGTCCATATTCTCAAAGATCTCACAGTTTAAAGGAGGCGATAGCATGCAAACAACTACATATAAACAAGATATATAGTGACAAATTGGAATATTTTCAGAGCAACAGCACTAAGATAAAGGACTAGAAAAGCCTTCTTACTGAAGGTGAGACTTTCACTGAGAATAGAAGGAAACCAAGGAAAGAAGGAGGCAGAGATGAAGGGGAAGAGAGTTCCAGACTGGGAGGATGCCCAGAGTTGGAAGGTAGAGTATTGTGTGTTAGGAACAATAAGGTAGTTGGTATCACAGGATTGGAGAATATGTTGAGAGGAGTAAGGCTCAAGATCAAAAAGAAGAGAATTCAATGGAATATTCAAATACATCTATATAGGATAGAGTGGTGAGAGGTTGGAGGCAAAGAGGTGAAGAAAGCAGTAGCTAATGTTCCAGATGTGAATTAATAGTGGCTATGGTAATGGAAAAAAGATGGAGAGATATTTCAAAGACCATGCTAGAAGAACTTGGCAGTGGTTTGGTTCTAGGGATCAAAGCAAAAAAGAAGAGTGAAAACTTAAATTTGTGAATTTTTGAGATCATAAAGATGGTGGAATTTTGATGGTTTATCAGGAAAGGGAGAGAAGGTTACAAGTTTCATGTTGAACTTACAAGTTTTATACGTTGATATTAATGAGCCAACAATTGCAATTAAGTTGAGCTGTCTTATAGAACTCTGCATATACAGTATTGGAGAGTTTGGAAGGTTAGAACCTGATGTGCAGATCTAGAGATAGAAGTAGCAATCTGGTGGCAATTGGAATTGTGAGGAGATTTTGCCAAGGGGTGAATGAAAAGGGTGAAAAACCAGAGTACTGGACATGAAGAAGTGTTTTACCTTCAAAGACCATTGAAAAAGAAACTGTGATTAATTATTTAATTTTTCGTTGGTAAGATAATGCATCTGTAGGAAAGTATGCTACATTGCTTCACAATTTTTTGTAGGCCAAAGCCTACTCCTTCCTAGTATAGTTACCAATTTTGTGATATATACAAATTGTATTCAATCTTCCATATGACAACATACCTCAGGGGAGACTTCTATAATTCCAAATTGAGATAGACTCTGATGTAAAACATTGAGATTGAGAGAATGCAGCACTTCTTCGGACGGCAACGCATCTGAAATTCCGGTTTTCCTGTTTACTGGAGACACAAACAACTCAATGCTGTTCTTCTTCCCCTAAGCAAAAGGAGAACATTTTTAGATATTACAAGAACAAGTAAAATTTGGGATGGTTCAATATTTTTAAAATAAACATTATAAGACATATAGAATGATAAAATTCATTGATTTTTAGAAATTAATGTGACCAACAGATCATATATGTAAGAGTGAATGGCTATTCTGTGGTCTGATTTTATAATTTGTTATTTAAAAAAAAGACTTATCCCTGAAGTTGGCCTCCCACAATCTAGTGGCAAACCACAACAGGCATTTTTATGGTTCTTAAAATGGTTTATTTGCAGTTGACAATTAGAAATTTGAGTATATGGGATTATGCTTTTGCCATTGGGTGATGAAAATAAATTTCAAACATTTGTTTTCATGAAAAAATATATGTGATGTTGGTCACATAGATAAAATGCTAAACTACATACATGTTATATATATATGTGTGTGTGTATATATATATATATATATATATATGGAGAGGGAGAGAGAGAGACAGAGAGAGAGCGAGAATGTGTACTTGGAGACACTGCTAACCTCTCTCTATATACATGTATATATCTATGATGTATCTATTTATTTAATTTATCTATCTTAAGACAGTGACTTTTAAATAGTTGTGATACACACATACATACACATATCTATATTTTGTGTTTTTTTAATTTAGATTGTGTATCTTTATCTCACTCAAGCTGGAAGTGCAGAAGCCACTCACGGACCCAATCCTACTACTATACATTGGGATAATAAATAATTGTATATATTTAATAATATATATGTGTATGTGTATGCATATGTGTATGTATATATACATATACATCTGTATATATACTTATAATTTTTAAATTTATGGAAGAAAACAAGCATTTCCATAACATAATATAATAAAAAAGATGATTGCACATGAAACTGTAATTCTATTATGTACAACTTACTTTTCCTTTTAAATATATAACATAAATAAATATATAATAATCGTGTAAATTTTCTCCCCCATTTTTTTCTTCCCTCCTCCACCCCCACCCTAAAGATGGTTACCGTTAGACACAAATAAGTCTGCATATATATAATTTTTCTATATATACTTTTATTTATCAGTTCTTTCCTTGAGTGCAGATAGCATCTTTCTTCATATGTCCTTTATAGTTAATTTGGGTATTTATAATAATCAAAATGACTTATTCTCTCAAAGTCATTCTTAAAATAATATTACTGTTACTATATACAACACTCTTTTGGTTCTGCCCCTTTCACTCTTCATTATCTCATGAAAGTCTTGTTTTTCTAAGATCATTGAGCTCATTGTTTCTTATAGCACGGTAGCATTCCATCACAACCACAACTCGTTCAGCCATTCCCCAATTGATGGGTTTAATACTTAGTATTGAAGCTTTAACATTCTCTGTTTTTCTATCTTGGACCTCTTTTCTCCTCCTTAGGCAGCCTGGTGGCCCACCCTTCCTGAAGGTTCCCCATATATGTGCTGGTCCTAGTAGGATTATCTGGTCAGCTTTAGCCCTACTGTAGCTGGGAAATCCTAAAGTCAAAAGATCTACCAGCCTCCTTCTCTCCTAGTAGTAGGGATTACAGGCATGTACGACTATTCCCAAAGGCCTTCCTTGAGTAAGTTACTTAATTTCTCTCAATCTTTCTTTCCTCATTGTGGAATGGGGATAACAATAACACCTGTCTCCCAAGGTGGTTGCTGTTGTTGAGTCATTTAAGTCACACCCAACTCTTTGTGACCACATTTGGAGTTTTCTTGGCAACAATACTGGACTGGTTTGCCATTTCCTTCTCTAGCTCATTTTGTGGAAGAACTGAGACAAACCGGGTTAAAAGTCTTCCTAACTCCAGGCCCTATACTTTATCTACAGAGCCACCTAGCTGCCTCAGGGTGGTTATAAGGACCAAAGAAAACAATGTATGTAACTGTTTCTACAAACTTTATAATGCTATATATGTCATTATTATCATCATCATAGAAAAATACTACATTACATCTTGGTTTCTCTGAATTATTAACTTTATTACAGTAAAAAAAAAATTACTGGACGTCTCCTGTCTATACTTTCTGATAAAAGTAACTCTCTCACAGAGTATCTGATATAAATGACATGGTGACAACATCTTGCATACTGATAGATAAGTAGGTAGATAGATAGATAGATAGATAGAGAGAGAGAGAGAGAGAGAGAGAGACAGAGAGATGGAAATAGAGTAAATATGTGAACTGCCTAGTTGCACCTGCATACAGCTGGCACCTAGGAATTTTTTTGGAAATGTATCAAGACAATTAAATGAAAGGTGCTTTCCTTGTGGCAGAGTGCCATACTTACTCAATGTAAATATTCTAAGAATAAAAGAACAAAATTGTATTTAGCTGAAGTTAAATCAAGCTTACTATGTTTTCTCTAGGACTTGTAAGCCAATCTTAAGGAGCACAATTAAAGTAAAATCCTTCTCAGGCTGAAATATTTAGAGTAACATATAAAGTTTGATGTCAGGGAAGGGATTAGAATTATAATGAAATGGGAAGATATGATAGGAAGGCAGATTTTGGCTCAAAATAGGGAGGAACATTCTCTTTCAAAAAAGACAGGGTGTCCCAAAAATTTTAGTGCAGTTTAAAAATCCTACTGCTTAAAAACTATACTAAAACTTCTGGGACACCTCATATAATTGATTGCCATAGGTGACAGTGAGTTCTCAGTCACTGAAGACTGTTGCAGTGAATACCTCATTCTTCTTCCTCTCTCTCTTTTTTCGTAAAATTCAGATTAAAATGGTACTTGGACAAATTACAATCCTGCTATTATTCTTGGGTAGTTAATGTTCTATTGAGTAATGCATCACTAGATAAAATAATTGCTTTTTGTAGTTGAATAAAAATTTGGGGATGTAACCTCATCTTCTCCAGGTTCATTAAAAGCATCTTCCATGCATCTTTGGGAGTCAACAGGATTACAGGGACAACAGGCACTTCACCTTATGTCCACACAATTTTGGTCTCCTCTTATAGGTGGTAGGTTGGGTAGCTGCATAGGTGGTACATTGGAGAGAACCCTGGATCTGTAGCCAGAAAGACCTTAGCGCAGATCCAGTCTTGGACACTAGCTGTCCATGTTACTTAACCTCTGCCTGCCTCAGTTTTCTCATCTGTAAAATGGGGATAAAAATATTATCTATTTCCAAGGATGGTTGTAAGGCTAAAGTGCAGTCATATTTGTAAAGCACTATATAAATCCTAGCTCTTCTTGTTCTTCTTCTTCCTCCTCCTTCTCCTCCTCTTCATCTTCTTCCTCTTCCCTTTCTCCTTCTTCTTCTCTCCTCTTTCCCCTGCTCTTCCCCTTCTCCTCTTCCTATCCTCCTCCTCCTTCTTCTTCCTCATATCTTGAAAGCTACTTATCCTAAGTAGCTTGGAGCATCTGCTATGGTTATAGCATTAAAACGTTGTTGTTAAGTTTTTATGAATCAATGTTATGTCCAGTGGACTTTGGGCATAGTTTGACCTGGGGTTATGGTTGATTTCATTGTACTCCTGTATAAAGTCCATATTTGTTGTAGAGGGATTGATCTGCTGTCCACCCGTGAAACATAATAGCAAGTTCCTGATATATAATTTTAGCCAAGTCACATCTTGTTTGGTATTTAGGTACTCATTTTTTGACTCTGCAGTGAGCTATTGAATAGTTTCCTTGTGTAACCTACATTGATCACAAAGTCCGGGTTCCTTAAGGATAACCCTTCTGTAATAGAAAGTGGTAATAACTTGGTCCTGAATTTTCAAAGTAAATCCACCCCCCAAATATATCCATCTGACTCAACCATTTGTTTGATATATGAGGCAGTTTTGTGTAGTGGATAGGGTGCTGAACTTGGAGTCAGGAAAACCTAGGTTCAAATCCAACCTCAAATACTTTCTAGCTGTATGACCTTGGGCAAGTCACTATACTCTTTGTGCCTCAGTTTCCTCATTTGTGAAATGAAGGGTTTGGAGTCAATTGCCCCAAGGTCTCTTCTATCTCTAAATCTATGTTCTTATTGTTCAGTGATTCAGATGTGACCCCATGGACCACAGCATGCCATGCCCTTCTATCCTCCACTGTCTCTCAGAATACGTCCAAGCAGTGCATTGTTTCCATGACACTATCTATCCACCTCATCCTCTGCTGTCCCCTTTTCCTTTTCCCTTCAATGTTTCCCAACATCAGGGTCTTTTCCAAAGAATCCTGTCCTCAATATGTGGCCAAAGTATTTAGGCTTTGCTTCAGCATTTGGCCATCCCATGAATAGCTTGAATTAAGTATTTCTTTAAGTATATGTTCCCATAATCCTCTCCACTCTAAGATTCTGTGATTAATTTCAAGTAATATTCCCCCCAGCACTTAGCACAGTGCCTGGCACACATAGTATATACTTAATAAATGTTCTTTGAGAGACTGTTATTAATTGATGCTTCTTGATTGACATATTTGCTGTTGATGTGAATGTCATTCAATGAGGGTGTTTTGATTCTACACTTTGATCTTAGCCATTTCAGAGGCTCCATTCAGAACCAGACCATTGCCCACTACATTGGACAACTCCAGTGTGTCCCTGTTAAACAACCTCTACTACTGCTTACTGATGTAATCTCTGTTTGTTCGAAAAGTATTTCTGTTGGGTTTTGACCTATTTATCATATACTTTAAGAATTTCTGAGGTCAATCCTTTTCCTCCTTTTTGGTGAGAAAGTATTAATCCTTTTAGTGCCTTAAACAAGGTTTTTAACCCCTTTTGTAGCATGGACCTCTTTAGTAGTTTGGGCAAGCCCATGGATGTACTAAGAATAATGTTTTTAAAATGCATAAAATAAAATACATGGAATTACAAAAGAAATTAACTATATTGAAATAGAGTTATCAATATAAAACAGCTCACTAACTCTAGCTTAAGAACCTGATGGGCCCTGAGTTTTATTAAGGACTTAAAATATCTATTAGAGTTGGCATTGCATTGGTGTT